TGGTAAAGCAGCTGCCTTTGGTGAGGTCCTGATCCTGGGGTCCTAGGATGGAGCCCCACATCGAGCCCTGCATCAGGCTCCCTGCTTCTCCCTCTCCCTCTGCTTGCAGGACCCTGCTTATGCTCTCTCTCTGTCAAATAAGCAAATAAAATCTTTAAAAAAAAAAAAAAAAGCAGGCTTCAGAATGTGTCCAGGATGATATTTCTATAAAATATAGAAATATGCAACTTTGTGCTATAAATTATTTATATATAGCATATTTAATATTTTACATGTACAGTAAAATGTAAAAACATAGCTAGAAAGAGTACATATTACCTTCAGGAAAGTGGTTGTCTCCAAAGAGGGAGAAAGGATACGATAGTGTGTCAGGAGAAAGGACATAAAATGTGAATTTTTTTTCTTAAAAATATTAACTCAAATAAGAAAAAGTGTCAAAATTTGCTAATTCTGCATGCAATACTCTGTATTCATTGTGGCATCCTAAATTTCTGTTCAACTATTTTATGATAAAACTAAAAGAGCCCTACACTACCCCCTGCATACCATTGTTAACACACAGATGTGTATTTCTCCAGATTTATTTCTTTGCATTTGATAATTAGGGCTCCTGGTTGCTAGCAAGAAAGGTCGTTTCTGGCAGAACTTAAAGGGAAAAATAATTTCTTGGAAGGAAAAAGCTCACAGAACCGGTAGGAAGTATGGGAAATCAGACTTGAAAAAGAGACAGGACCAGTAGTTACGCCAGACCAAGTGACATGAACTAAGGAATTCTCATTCCCACCGGGCTCCATTCTTATGCCCCAGTCCTGAAGAGGGGAAGCTCTGGGTGGGCACTTCTGGCCCTGCTGAGCAATGATGTCACCTTTCTCTAACTGGCTGCCAAGAAGTTAGGAGAGGAAGCCTCCGCCCCTTTAAGACCTGATCAAAGGCAGCAGATACCCCTCTTTGCCTATCTTGGGATTCTCCTCAAATAAAAAGATATTTGGATGTTGAGTAGCCAAAATCACACATGTCCCCTAGAATTATCACATTTCCTTCTTTTCTCCATATATACTCATGTCCACCACTCCCCACCTCTCTCTCTCTCTCTCACATACACATACACAGAGAGACTTTACTTAAACTGTAATACACTCATTCCACATGTACTATTGGGCAAGTTGTGTTTTACAGCTAACATACCTTTCACATCTTTCCTTGTTCTTCCCCTATAGATCTATCTCATTTTTCTTAAGGGTTATGTAGTATTTTGTACAAAAGGACTGTAATTTAAAAAATAATTTACTGGGGTGAAATTCACATAAAATAAACCATTTTGAAGCAGGGGACAATCCAGGGGCAGTTAGTACATACCCACTGTCAAAGGACCACCACCTCTATCTAGTTCCAAAACACTGCTGGACTGCAATTTTTTTTTTTAAAGATTTTATTTATTTATTTGACAGACAGAGATCACAAGTAGGCAGAGAGGCAGGCAGAGAGAAAGAGGGGGAAGCAGACTCCCTGCTGAGCAGAGAGCCCGATGCGGGGCTCGATCCCAGGACCCTGGGATCATGACCTGAGCCGAAGGCAGAGGCTTAACCCACTGAGACACCCAGGCGCCCTGCAATTGTTTTTAAACCAATTTCTTACCAATGGACATGTGGGTTTCCTCCAGTATATAGGCAATGATTCAGAGTACTACAGTGAATCCCACAGTACATAGTTCTTTTAGAAACTTTTTTTTTTTTTAGTAGATTCTTATTTATTTGTCAGAGAGAGATCAGAAGCATGGAGAGCGGCAGGCAGAACAGGCAGAGCAGGCAGAGGAAGAGGGAGAAGCAGACTATCTGCTGAGCTAGGAGCCCATGTGGGACTTGATCCCAGGACCCCGGAATCATGACCCGAGCCTAAGGCAGACGCTCAACCAACTGAGCCACTGAGGCATCCCTCTTTTGGAAACTTGAGTAAGTGGCTCAAGTTTTAGAAGTCCCAAGATTATTCCCATTAGAAATCATAATGGGTACTACAAAAACTCTTTCAAAAAGGTTGTAAAATTTATGCTTCTGGCAGTAGTAATTGAGAGCCGTTTGTTATTCTTATCCTACTGGTACCCCTATTTGTAGCTTTGCCCGGCTGAGAAAAAAAGAGTCAAGGTTTTAATAGCAGGGGGTTTTTGTTTGTTTTAACTTTTTAAAAACTCTTTTTTTAAAAGATTTTATTTGTTTATTTGACAGAGATCGCAAGTAGGCAGAGAGGCCGGAAGAGAGAGAGGAGGAAGCAGGCTCCCCACTGAGCAGAGAGCCCCATGTGGGGCTCCATTCCAGGACCGTGGGATCATGATCCGAGCCAGAGGCAGAGGCTGTAACCCACTGTAACCCAGGCGCCCCTTGTTTAAACATTTTGAGCTAGTAACCATTTATATTTCTTTACCTCTTATTCATTTCAGGGGTCAGCAAATATTTTCTATAAAGGGCCAAACATTAGGCATCATGGACCACAGTTATTCAAGTATGCTACCGTAGTGTAAAAGCAGCCATAGACAACATATCAACAAATGTGCATGGCTGGATTCTAGTAAAACTTTAAAATCAGAACATGGGGCACCTAGGTGGCTCAGTGGGTTAAGCCTTTGCCTTTGGCCCAGGTCATGATCTCAGGGTCTTGGGATCAAGCCCAGTATCAGTGATCCTGCTTCCCCCTCTCTCTCTGCCTGCCTCTCTGCCTACTTGTGATCTCTCTCCCTCTGTCAAATAAGTAAGTAAAATCTTTAAAAAAAAATACATAAAATCCGAGCCAACAGTCTATAGATTGTAGACCCTTGATCTGTTGTTCTATTGTGGCTGTTTTTAGTTTAGAAACTCTTTGCGTGATAGGATAAACATGGCCTTATCTACTCTAGTCAATTGATGAATGTGGCTATTCTTGTGCCAATACCAAATTCTTAATAACTGTAGCTTTATAAAATGTTTTCATAAGCCGTACAACTATGTTTGGTTTGCTTAAATAATAAATTCCCGTCAAAATACAATAACTACAATAGTCAAGCACCATTATACATTTACACTCTCAAGGTGAAATTCATAAACTGTAATGTAACTCTGCAAGGAGTTCTAGCATGAAAATGAGAAAAGGGGCTTTGCATTGGCTTCTAATTTGTTTCAATTCGAAAGCTAAACTCTGTCATGGCCATGAGAAGCAATGGAATATAAGGGACCATGTATTTATTCTTAGAGCTCGACAAAACAGCATGAACTCGGTCGCAGAGCTCTGTTTTGGAAGCTCTGCACTGGTCACTGGGGTGACCCCTTGCACTCAGAGGTCACTCACTCTCTTTACCAATGACCTTGTCACCAGCTACAAAGATGGCCGACTTCTCAGATGCACTAAGCTGCCCACTTTCTATCAGAAACTATTAAACCAAAATGAAGAATCAAGAGCCAAGTCCCAGAATGTGCCTAAAAACTTTAATCTTTGATGGTTCTGCATCTGCATTATCATAATTTTAAAACTTCCAGGCAACACAACGCACTTTAAAAAAAGGTTTACTTTTTCTAAATCGTAACGCATTGCTTGTTTCCATCCTTCACACCCAACATCAAAGAGCACTTCCCCCCACCACCAACCCCTTAAATTTCAAAATAACAGGCAGTCCTAAATAAGATGTGAGCTGAACCAGCAGGTCTCCCCTGATCCGAGCAGCTCTCCCCTCCAGCTCCCCCTGGCGTCCTCTCCGCCTTTTATCCGGGTCTGAAATCCTCACCATTAAGAATTCTTGGGTTAGGGGACAAGACCATCCCCAAAAGCAGCTGCTCACACCCACGTTCAGTCCCCAGCCCGTTCTCACTAGCACATCAGCTGGGGTTCTAGGAGTTTCTTGGTCCCAGGGGCCGAGGGGCGGGCAGCTCTGGGGGCTGCGCGAGGGCTTAGGGCCAAGGTGGAGCTGACCATGGGGAGAAGGGTTACGGCCACCCTACTCATCCTCGGTCCCGGAGAGGAGGCCCTTGTCCTTTTTAGGTGCTGCGAAGCCATCCTAGTCCCTGAGACTTGGAGCGAGGAAGGGACTCCCCAGGGCTCTGGGGCAGGAGAGAGCTTGGCCCTGGCCAGTGTCCCGCGCTGCCTTCCAGGCGCACCCGGGGTCCCACACCGGTGTCCCCGTTCGCACTACTCGTCCCCGAGGCTCGCAACCCGCCCAGCCCAGACACCCTCGAGGCCTCACCGTTGAAGCCAATCACGGCCTCAAGCTCCAGCTCGGCCACCTCGGCTCTGAGCGAAGTTTGGTTCTCCATCCCCAGGAGCCTGGGCTCTCCCCGCTCTCAGCTTCCGGCGGCGTAGCGTCTGTCGGTCGGTATGGTAACGGACGTGCGCATGCGCACCAGACCCGCGCCCGCGCGCTCTCTGGGCTACAGCGCCCCGAGCTCGCGCTGCAAAAGGAGGTGGGCTTTACCCCCCTCCTCTTTCCTTTAGGAAATTTAGGGGCGCTGAGTGCACGCTTTCCCTCCACGGAAAGCATCTGTGACTTTTTTCGCAACTATAGAATTAAGCACCGATATAATGAAAAATAATATATAATGGCCACTTCTTTGGGTCCCTTGTTGGAAGCAGGGTTGAAAAGAATTTTTAAGCTTTATTGAGCTATCACTTTACATATAAAGTTCACTCTAAGTGAGTTTTAGTAAATTTACACAGTCGGGCCTCTATGCCCCCAGTCCAGGTTTTTTTTGTTTTTGTTTTTGTTTTTTTTTTTTGAAGCGGGATGAAAATTCAGGTAACTGCTGCAAGTCTTGAGATGCGCCCACCTTGCCGGGAAAATGCTCAGATTTTTGCCCAACGGTTTAATTTTCATTGGGCCGGGCTGTTCACGTCCCTCAGGGGGAACCGATTAGATTAGATTGCTCCAACCTGACGTTCCCCGGGGGCCGCTTCGCTTTCGTGATCATCCTTTCCAACCCCAGGTGTACGCTCCCCCGGCAAACGCCGGGTTCCGGTCGCGCCCGGGTCGAACCGCGGGGTATGAGCCGCTCGGGCCGCCGTAGTCAGCTGCCGCGAGCAGGAAGTGTCCGACGGCGGCGGCGGCGGCGGGCGGAGACTGCACGATGGCCCCGGACCCCTGGTGAGCCCTGGGTGAGGGCGGCCGCGCCGAGGGTCCGCGGGGGAGGCCGGGCTTCCGGGGAGCGGACGGTAGCCAGGCTTTGGGGCTGGGGGAGCCCCTCAGGAGGAGGGAAGGGGCCTTCCCGTGCCCAGGGGGACCGCGCCGCGCGTCCCGCCAACCTCGGTGCTCGCGGGGGTGGCCCCGGAGGGGAACCGGGTGGATACCGGGGAGGTGGGGGCGAGTACCGAATCCCGGACGCATGCCTTTAGTCCTTCTGGGCTGCATCTGGCCGCGGGGACTTCCCGCCCGTCCTGCTGCGGAGCTGGCTGGTGCAAGCTTCCTTGGACTGCAGGGAGAGTGAAGTCCGAGTCACCTTTTTGTGGAACGCGGGTGCATCGGGTGACCTCCCCCCCCCCCTTTACCTCCGGGACTGAGAAAACCGAGGTTCAGAATCCACGGTCACCCGCCGGTTAGTAACCAGTTGGCACTAGGACCTAGATCTTGTGGGCCCTTCAAAAAACTTAGAGGAATCGGGGAGGGAAATTACGCATTTGTTTGTAAGGCGGCTAACCCTTCCCTGAGTCAGTATCGGGAAGGCTGTTTCTGCGGCAGCATCTCTGCAGTTTAAAAAAAAAAAAAAGAGAGCGAGCGCGCTGGGAAGGGTTGTTCCTTCAACAATTAAGTCCCATGGACTGAATGATGAAAAGACGCAAGTTCTGATCCTAAGGAACATCTTGCTACCCGCACGTCGGACTGGAGTTTTTTGGTTTAATGATTAAAAGCATATCCTAGCTCTGGAAAGTTCTTGTTAATATTTCTGGTATAATTTATAATTAAGTTGTAGGCACTGTGACTACTAGACTAGGTTGCAGGATCAAAGCATTTCTTTGGATCTGGGTCACCTGCGCCAAATGGCTCACTTGATTTAACGGTATTTTTTTTCCACCTAGTTTTAACACCTGTGTACACTCTGATAGAAAATTTAGAAAATACCATTTCCAGAGAAAAAGAATGCCACATCTTCACCTCTGTCATTTGGAGTAATAGCTGGTACTGATTTTTAAAAGGAAAGCGAATATACTATGCATATATATTATATATCATGTACAAGTATCTCCAGCTTCTTAAGACTTTACATTGTGCTACTTTGGTTTTATGAAAAACTTACCTTAGTACTTCTTTTCGCTAACCAAAAGAAATCAGAAGAGGGTTTTTGCTTTTATGAAAAAAGGGGAAAGCAAAGCTAGCATTCAGTGTTTCTTTTGTAGCAAAAGGTCATAGAGACATTGCACTCCCAGGTCAATGAGAGTGACCCCCCCCACCCCAAGCTCCTTCCTGGAAACTACATTCAGCATCTCAGCATCCAGCTCTCATAGCTTTGAAATGTGTCTGTGAGCATCTGGGCTTTATCTTGGTTTATTTTGTGTATCCCTTAGCAAGATGTGCCCTAAGGTATCAGAAAAGCCCCAGAGAGGTTATTTTTGGGGGTTTAGGAAAGCTCAAGAAATGTTACCATATATATTTATGGTAATTGGCCCCTTTGCTTTACACCATTTCAGCTTAGGAAAGGTTTTGTAGGAAGACTATTTTTGGATAGTGAGGGAAACCTGCGTGTTTCACAAAGCAAAGCACATTTCTCCGTGTCATTAAATTTTTACAGAAAGCATGATTTTTTTCATGGTGCTAATAGTGCACTGTATGAATAACCATAATTCATTTAATTATTTCCCTCTTTGTACCTCTTTGTAATGTTAGAGTTTGTTTTGTTTAGCTATTACAAAGACTCCCCTTTGTTCCATTCCTTATTTCCTCCACTTGCTTCCTAGAAGTGGAACTATTGGATTGAAGGATAAGAACATTTTTAAGGCCCTTGATAGGTATTGCTAAATTCCCCTCCACCTCCTGGGAGCTAAGCCCCTCACTATACATAAGGTAGGAAGTAAAGCTCGGAGGTGGCTGTCCATGTAGATTGCTGGAAGCCATCACTGGACCCCAGGCTTCTTCTCCAGTTTATGCTGAGAGCACATCACGTTCCCTCTTACTCTCAAGTAGTTTGACCCAGCGGCTTTCTCCCCTGACTGCTGACAGTGAAACAGTGAGGGAACTCTGTTGGGTTAGCATCGGCTACCTTGCAAAGTGGATTGCTGGTCAGGAGGGCTGAAGGGAATACAGAATGGGACTTGGACAAAACCTATAAAAACAGACTTGACTACATACAGCCTTGCCTTCCTGCTCTTGAAGAATCATAGGTCAATGATGCTTTACTCCCGAGTGATATCCTAATGTTGAAAATGGAATGTTTGTTGGCTCATTGAACATAATAATAAAAAAAGTGGAATATAGCAGTGACAGCTTTAATGGAGTATCAGAGCAAGGGGCAAGCTCACTTTTTAATGGAAGGAGCAAGGGATGACTGCCTCTGAAGTGGTTCTTTGCTGAAGCTAATTAACGTTACTGCCGGGGCAACATATTTGTTGCTGATACATCATTTCTGGAAAAATTACAGTTTAATAGACCTTACCAGTTTTGTATTCTGGTTGGGCCTTTCTTGGGTCCCTTCTAAAAATTGTTATGGAAGGTAAAATACATACAAAATGGGATAGTATCATCCATACCATGACCCTGTGTAATGTATAATATAACCCCTTTATACTCATCCCCGGATTCCTGTAATTACCAGTATTCCCCCATTCTTCTATCATCTCTTCCCTCCACATCTTTCTCCCCCTCCCCCAAGATTTTTTTTCCCTGAGTAAATCTCATACATATGTGAATTTAACTGTACGTTCAGTGTTTTTGTGGCAGAACAGGAGTTTAGTCCATGGTCTGGAAACTTCTCTTTGCTCCTCTTTGTCTCTGCCTTTTGCTATCACCATCCTCTGAGTCACCCAGGCCTGGAAACTCCAATCATCCCCTTTCTCTTCACTCCTCCTATCAGATTATTAAGTCTTTGGCTTTTCTCTTAAATTTTATGCGATTTGTTCATGCTGTGGTCCCATCCTTTTAGCCCTGTGCCTCGCAGGCAGTAGATACTGGTGACCCGTTCTAGACTTGGAAAGCTGGAAAAGTCTTCCTGTCTCCTGCCCACACCTCTCTCGTGCCTAGCCATTTGTGTAACCGAGTGCAGTTTCCTGAACTAGTACCTTAGGCACTTGTGTGCTTGATACCGTGATGAGGCTGCCTATGAGCTCTAGATACAGATCAGAAGACCCAGGAAATCCTTGTGTCACAATTCCTTGTGTCCAGGTCAAGCCCCATTCAAGTTCAAGCAGAATGCATGGGGCTGGGGGCCAGGACTTGGCTGTGATGTTGTTATTTGAAGATTCCCCTGGTGATTCCAGCACTAGCAAAGTTTTAGGACCGTTGCTCTCCAAAGCTAACGTGGGAAGGTGAGGAGTGGGAGCGAGACATCTGGGGTTTTGGCCTTCTGCGTTTCACAGAACCTCTTCAAGGGCTCACTCGATGTGTAAAAGGGTCCCCCTACAGCTCTAAAGCTCTCTTTCAAAAGTCTCAACCTGATTACTCTGGTGTTCAGGGCTCTGCAGAAACTAGCTTCCATGCATCTGTGCCCTTTGATGCCGAATCCGCCTACCCAGGGCCACTCAGCTGAATGCACCAGGCATGTGTCCTTCGATTTCCTTCCTTTCACCCTTGCTTGCTCCTTGCGCCTTTTGCCAAGTCGAGGATGTGCCCCTCCCTCCTTTTCAGCCTTATAGTTCAGCCCATGATGTACCCTCTTGGCCCAGCCCGGTCAAGTCTGAGTGCCCTAGGCCACCAGTTACTCCTCTCACTTCCGGTCTTCATTTGGAAGGAGCTGCTGTATCATGCCTTATTATTGATTTTCATAGGTGTGGTCTGGGGCCACAGAGCCAGACCTAAGCTCCTCTTTTCAGAGAGGACGGTATGGGCGGGGAGAAGGGAAGATGTGGCAGAGCTGGAGCCAGGACCAGTTTCCTTACCAGCTTCCCTCTTCTTTTCTTTTTTTTTTTTTTTTGGTCGGTGGAAGGGGCAGCGGGAGAGAGAGAATGTAAAGCAGGCTCGTGCGCAGCGCAGAGCCGGACATGGGGCTTGATCTCACGACCTTGAGATCATGACCTGAGCCGAAATCAAGAGGCACTTAACCGACTGAGCACCCAGGCACCCCTTCCTCCTATTTTCTTAATTATGTGTTGTATCACCTGCTGTGTTTTGTATTCGTGAACATACGCACACTTACCCGTGAATATTTGCATGAGGCTGCTTTAGCGTGTAGTGGGGAGTTGCTAAAGATCGTACTTCTTGGCATGTGAAGTTCAGAATGTAACACTTTTCACCCAGGACCTGTCCCAGATCAAGGACTCGACTGTCCCCCATTGCTGGAATTACTCTAGTAAGATTGCCAAGGGAAGCGATTGGAGATTGTTTTTTCCATCACTGAAAAACATATTTGCCAAGTTCCCTCGGTGTACGAATACCGCGTGGGAGTTCAGAGATTTTGAGAAATGGATCATTTACTTTTTCAAGCAGAAATGGGGACGTTAGGACAAGTAGCAGTTTTCAATATTTGGTGCTGGGACAGTGCTGGGAAATAGGTTGGTTGTATGGAGCAGACCACCTAGTAGGGGAGACGCAGTGTGTGCGCGCACCTAGCTTTTCTCTGTGAAACAGATAGAAATGTGATTTGGTCACATGTATTTAATATTGCCTCTGCCTCTCTCTCCACGAATATTTTTTAAAAAAATGTTTGACAGTATTTTGTCTCAAAAGGGCAAAATAAGAGACAACTGGGAATTCATTGTGAATTTTCCAAAGCCTCCAATGCTATGAATACGAAATAGAAACTCAGCAAATGCTCTGAGAGAGTTCTCATAAGCTTAGATGTCAGGAGGGTGTGTGTCTCATGTCCCCAGAGCATTTTGTTGTAGGATAAATAGTACTTCCTGTGCCTGTTTTGTAAAGTTCTTCCCCTGCTGGCTCTTTCCTCACCTTGCCTGAAACTCTCTGTTCTCTTATCCTGCTTTATTTTTCTTCTCAGTGCTTGACATACTACGTGTTTGTTTATCCTATACTTTTCTCCCTTCGCTAAGCATCTTGAGCAGGGACCTTGTCCGTTTTGTCACTGCTCTGATCTCCAGGGCCTGCAGCAGTGCTTGGTAAGAGGAGGCGCTCCATAAACCTTTGCCGAATGTTCTGGAAGAGAATGGATTCAGACACATTGCCATGGACAGAATGGTGAGGCGGTTATGAGCAGAGGCTCAGGGCCGGATAGCCTTGGTTTACAGCTGGGGAAGCTGTTTTACCTGGGCAAGTCTCTACCTCTTTGTGCCTGATTTTCTGCCTTGGAAGGTGGAGATGATTATGGGACCCGTCTTCTGGTGTTTTTGTGTGGATTAAGTGAATTATTACGAAAGAAGCATTCATTATAGAGCCCAGCACATTGTACTTACCGTAATAGCAACACGCGTCCCTATGACTGTTGCTATTACTACCCTCCCCTCCTGTTTGAATCCGTGGCTAGAATTAATAAAACTGAAACGCAGATAACGTGGACGTCTTCTTTTAAAGAACCTTAAACCTTCTTCTCCCTTTGCGACTTTGATGCAGGTTCTCCACATACGATTCTACCTGCCAAATTGCACAAGAGATTGCCGAGAAAATCCAACAGCAAAATCAGTATGAAAGAAATGGTGAAAATACAATCAGGGTAAGACCAGGAGAGAATTAGTACTTGAAGTGATTTGTTTGAGCTTGGAGGTCTGAAAACCGTCCTCCTGCTGAGGTTCCGTGTGTGTGTGCGCGTGTGTGTGAGTGAGACCGTGGAATTGACATTATAACCAATCAGGCACTCGTTACGACTGAGACTAAATGAAGCATGACACTTGTTTAATGTCTCCTACTTCCCTTTAAAAGTATCTGACAATGTCATAGTCTAGTTCAAACCCCAGACAGTAAATCTCCCAGGCTTTGCAGGACAAGGGGTTGAGGTCTTCACCTCTTGGAAGATCTGTTCTTGCCAAAAGGATAATAGCTTTTTTTTTTTTTTTTTTTTTACATTTTACGCATAAAAATGTAAATAGCTTACAGGTGCTACAAAAACAGTGGCAGGATTTGACTAGGAAATCTATTTTTTAGATGCTCATGAGTTCATTCTAGCACCTTCGATCCAAGTCCAACACCATGTTTCTTTCTAACCTTCCCCATTCCAAATTCGTATTTTTCTTTTCCAGCAGTCAGAACTTTGGTTACCAAAAACTATGATCTCTTTTTGCCCACTTGGTCTTTTTTATCGTTTACAGAAGACAGTTTCAGGATTACTACACAGGTACTGCCACAAACACTACCTTTGAGTTTGTCTTTATTTTTTTTAACTTTTTAAAACTAATATCCCACTAATAATACTGAGGTTATTCTGTTCTAAAGTATTAAAACGGATCCTTTTTTCCTGTGTTTTATGCTATCCTTTGCATCTGTTTTTATTCATTTTTGGGGTACTCTTGAATCCCCATCACTTATGTCCCCCATCCCTCCACCCACCTGCCCTATGAAGACCACCAGTTTGTTCTCCGCAGTTGAGTCCGTTTCTTGATTTGTCTCTTTTGTTTTCCCTTTGTTCCTTTGTTTTGTTTCTAAGATTCCACCTATGAGTGAAATCCTATGGTATTTGTCTTTCTCTGACTTATCTCACGTTCTAGCTCCATCCATGTTGCAAATGGCAAGATTTCATTCCTTTTTTATGGCTGAGTAATATTCTAGTTTATCTGTATCACTTCTTTATCCATTCATCTACCAGTGGACACTTGGGCTGCCTTTACAGCTTGTCTGTTGTAAATAAATCTGCTCTAAACATTGGGGTGCATGTACCCCTTTGAATTCGTGTTTTTGTATTCTTTGGGTAAATACCCAGTAGGGTGATGACTGGATCATTGGACAGTTTTATTTTTAACTTCTTGAGGAGTCTCCATACTGTTTTCCACAGTGACTGCACTGGTTTGCATTTCCAAAAACAATGCAAGAGGATTCCTTTTTCTCCTCATCCTTGCCAACACTTTTGTTTCTTGTGTCGATTTTAGCTGTGCTGACGGGTGTGAGGTGATACTTTGCAGTTTTGATTTGCATTTCCCTGATGATGAGTCACATTGAGCATCTTTTCACGTGTCTCTTGGCCATCTGGATGTCTTCTTTGGGGAAATGTCTGTTCATGTCCTCTGCCCGTTTTTAATTGGATTATTTGTTTTGGGGGTGTTGAATTGTATCACTTCTTTATATATTTGGGATACTAATCCCTTATCAGATATGTCCTTTGCAAATATCTCCTCCCATTCAGTCGTTTGCGTCTTTGTTTTATTGATTGTTTCCTTTGCTGTGCAGAAGCTTTTTGTTTTGATATTCTCCCAGTGGTTTATTTTTGCTTTTATTTGTTTTGCCATAGGAGATGTATCTAGAAAAGCATTGTGAAAAGCATTGCTACGGCCAGTTTGTACTGCCTCTGCCCTCTTCCAGGATTTTTATGGTTTCAGGCCTCATATTTAAGTCTTTAATCCATTTTGAGTTTATTTTTGTGTGTGGTGTAAGAGAGTTGTCCAGTGTCCTTCTTCTGCATTTTGTTGTCCAGTTTTCCTGATACCGTTTGCTGAAGAGACTGTGTTTTTTCCCATTGGGTATTCTTTCCTGCTTTGTCAGAGATTAATTGACCATAAAATTATGGGTTTATTATATTAATTTTTAGTACTTCTTTTTTTTAATAAAGATTTTATTTATTTATTTGACAGATCACAAGTAGAAAGAGGCAGGTAGAGAGAGGAAGGGAAGCAGGCTCCCTGCTGAGCAGAGAGCCTGATGCGGGCTCAATCTCAGGACCCTGAGATCATGACCTGAGCCGAAGGCAGAGGCTTAACCCACTGAGCCCCCCAGGCGCCCCTGATTTTTAGTACTTCTTATATGTAACGATTTTCATTAAATTTGGTTTATTTTTCCTGTGTTAACTTTTTGCAGAAATAAGCATCTGTGTGTTTGTGTGTGTTCTCATTTTTTTTCCTTTTACACAAAAGATACTCTTGTGTATCTTTTTCTTTTCATTTAATACTACATCACGGTGATCCCTCCATATTTATTTACTTAGATTTTTGCCGTTCTTCTTTCAGGCTGTATAATACTCTCCTGCACGGATACGCTGTGGCACATTTAACCTGTCTAAGGATGGGTGTTTGGATTGTTTCTATACTTTTGCTGTTATGAAAAATGCTGCAATAAATACCTTTATGCTCCCCCCCACCTTATATTTGTGGAGGTGTCTTACAAGGGTGAATTCTCAGAACTAGGATGTATGTGATTTTTTTCACCTGTTGCCGAATTCCCCTCCATAGGGGTGCTTACCTTTGGTGCCCTGATCAGCAGAGCACAAGTTTCTGTTTCTTGACAGGCTGGCCAACAAATGGGGTTGTCAGTCTCCCGGGTTGTTGCCGGTGAGATAAGTGAGACATAGTATTTCAGTGTAGTTTCAGATTTGCATTTTTCATTTACTAATCAAGGAAAGTACGTTTTCACATGCTTAAACATTATTTATATACATTTTTCTGAGAAGTTCTTGTCTTTTGCCCAGTTTTTTTAATTGGTCTTTTTAGTCTCTAAGAGTTCCTTATATAATACAGAGATTTAGTTCTTGGCGATAGATTGTAACTTATTTTCTTTATCATTTGTTGTTTGGCTCTGCCCATGGTACCGTCTGCCATGTGAAAGTTTTGGGTTTTTTAAACAGAGTTGGCTAATGATCTTTAAATGCCTCCACATTTTCACTTATAACTTTTGCTATTCTGGGATGTAAGGGCATTTATTCCTGTTTTCTTACAACAAACCAATGGTTTCACTTTTTACATTTAGATCTCATTCATTTAGCTGGTGTCATCCTCTTGGATAGTTTGATTATTTCCAATTATAAATGAGTTTTCAGTGTGGCTAAATCATTGCCCACGTCAGAGTAAGTTTCTTAGTGTAGACTTTCTGGATTTAGGTCGTATGAAATCTTAAGCCTCATGTACATATAAGTCTGTATCAATTCTGATTATCTTTTACAAATCTTTCTCATTCTGTTAGGTGAAATTATACAATAGATTATTATGCATTTTTAAAATTATTTATGTAGTTGAGCATGTTTTCATTTATTGAATGCTCGTATTTCTTCCTTTGTGACTTACTGGTATATGTCCTTAACCTAACCTGTTATTTCTTTTTTATTTATTTTTTAAAGATTTTATTTATTTGAGAGCGAGAGAGACAGCAAGAGGGGAATACAAGCAGGGGAAGTAGGAGAGGGAGAAGCAGGCTTCCTGCTGAGCAGGGAGCCCAATGTGGGGCTTGATCCCCTAACCTGTTATTTCTTAATCTCCATGTTCTTTATGTGTATGTTGACTATATTCAAGCTTGATCTGGCATATCTGATACCAGTATTTTTTCTCTTAATTTGGCTTTTGATTTTATAAATGACATTTTTTGGACATGTACTTTTTTTTAAACTGGATTTGAAATTTTCAATATTTTTAAAAAGATTTTATTTATTTATTTGATAGAGACACAGCAAGAGAGGGAACACAAGCAGGGGGAGTGGAAGAGGGAGAAGCAGGCTTCCCACCAAATAGGGAGCCCGATGTGGGGCTTGATCCCAGGAGCCTAGGATCATGACCTGAGCCAAAGGCAGTTGCTTAATGACTGAGCCACCCAGGCACCCCAAAATTTTCAGTATTTTTATTTGTGGTCTTTTCTTTTAGAAAGAGGAGAGATCATGGCGATAAAGGTCTTTCATAGTCAGAAACTGTATAAATATTTTGTCTGATCACCTAAATAATCTTCAAGCTTGCCTTCAGTTTTTATTTTTAAGCACATATCCTTAAAATATTTGAAGTTTATTTTGGTTATGTTGTGGGCATCTAATTTTACTTTTTTTCCCATTTGCTAAATTATTCCCTACCTTACCCCCTCCAAGATACGAAATATTCTGTATTTCATTCACTGAATTTTTGTGCAGTTGCACCGTTCCTGGACCTTCTGTTCTGTTGTTCCTATTGTGGTTTTTATAAAGACTCCAGATCTGATTGTCAAGGTCCTCAACCATCACACATTCCTTTTCTTCCTATATTTCCCTTTATCCATGGTTTAGAATAATTTTGCATAGTTTAAAGTTCTTTTGTACTGTGCCTCAATTACTACCTCTTTTTCAATAAAAGAACTCCAGATGGGACTCTGAATAGTTGTGTAGTTTATTTAAAGATTAAATTGGGGGACATTTACATTTTTACAATATTAAGTGTTCCTTTTACTCATTCTTCCATCAGTTATTTACTTCACAATTACTATGTGCCAGGCACCATACTAGATATTTTTGAGATTTTGTTGGCATTGTTAATGATGTTTAAATTAATAATTAAAAACAAGTCTCCCCACCTATTACTTAAACATAGAAATGCCCTTGATTTTTTAAATTTACAGTTGATTACTGACTTCTTTTCCTGTTTCTAGTAATCTGTCAGTGGCTTCACTTAATTTTCCCAAACAGACTAATCCATTTGGAAATAATGAATTTCCTCTCCTTCCTTCCAGCCCCTGTGTATTTCTTTAACTTGACTTATTGCATTGGTTGGAACTTCTAGACCAAAGTTGAATAATGTTGTTGTTAAGGCAGTACCGTTCCATTCTTAGTTTTGTTGTTTCTGTTTTTTTTTTAAATATATTTTTTAAAGATTTTATTTATTTATTTAACAGAGAGAGAGAGAGAGAGAGAGAGATCACAAGCAGGCAGAGAGAGGGAGGGAGAAGCAGACTCCCTGCTGAGCAGAGAGCCCAATGCGTGGCTCGATCCTAGGACCCTGGGATCATGACCTGAGTTGAAGGCAGAGGCTTTAGCCCACTGAGCCACCCCAGTGCCCCTCTGTTTTGGTTTTAGTTACCCCCTCCCCTATACTGTATTAATCACCAACACTGTCAGCTTTATTATTAGATTTTCTAACATCAAACTGTTCTTCAATTACTAGGATAAATTCTTCTTGGTGGTGATATGCTATCATTTTAACGTCATTCTGAATTTGCTTTGCTAATCTTTTTAAAAGACTTTTATATTTTATAATCCTTATGGGAGATTGGCATGTGGTTTCTTTTTTCTCAAGATCTCTGTCAGTGCCTGTTGCAAGGGTTGTGTTAGCTTAAAATATAAATTAGGCTTTCTGTCTTTTTCTGTGCTTTCGAAGTTTCAGTTAAATGATGATGATAGAAAACTTTTCCTGATTATTAAAGTAATCATTTTCTTATAAAAAATTTTTAAAATTCCACTACTTAGGGGTAATGGCCAGTGGCATTTTAAGTATTTAGTTCCTGGATTGATTTTTTTATCAATATGGATGACATTTCATTTTATGACTTGATTTTTTTTTCTTTGAATAGATTATCATGGCTCTCGGTGCTAACATTTTGAGATTTCAATCATACTTTTTTAATGGCTACATTCTTTTTCATCTTTTGAATGATTTTGAGCTTTAGTTTTGTAGACTTTTAGTTTGGATGTGTGTGTGTGTGCACAAGAGCGCACGTGTGTGTGGCAGGGGTGTGTTTTGCTTTTTTTGTTTGTTTGTTTTGCTCTTTATTTCTTGAATGAGGGGAGATCTGCTTTCCTCGGTATTTCCTCATAAACACTGTAGGTGGTTTTCCGTGGTTCCCAGAGGTATTAGAATAGTTAAGGTTAAACTTTTCTTGGCTGCCCAATACCTTTGAGGGCTGCTTGATGTGTGTAGCCCTCGGCCAGCCTCTGGTGTCCTGCTATTTTCCTCCTTAGTGTGACCCTGCTAATCTAGGGAGGAAGGCCTCTTCCTTTCCGCTGCAGGTTTGTAATTGCTACTCTGAATGAGGTAGCAAATGAAACCTGTGATCTTGTCTTTTGAAAACATGATCTCTGATTTCACCCACGGCTGACCGGATTTAATTTACATGGGCAACTTTATGTTTCCTATTTCTCAGTTCCCAAGAGCCTCTCTCCTCACTCCGCTCCATCCTTCAGGGCAGCACTCAGGGTCACAAACCAAAATTTCCTCGGGGTCTGTAGAATGATCGAGAAGATTCACACACTCTTGGAAAAACAGTCACATGTGGTTAACGTTGTATAAGGACAACACACCGCTGTAAAACTTTTACATGGGTTTGAAATACACCAGTGCATTTAGACAAGACTGGCTGCGGTGGCAGTGGAACTTGATGGCTTCTCATTTGAAGCAAGGCCGGGGGAACGGGGGTTTTTCGCTGGTGAATGCAGACTAGGGAACCCAGGTTCCTGCATGGCTCCAAGGTAGACAAATGGGATCGGAGCGTAGAGGCTCAGAGGACAGAATTCGGACTATGAGGGCCAAGTGGCAGTTTCCCTATTCAGGTATGGCCCCACTTACTGCCTGGTCACAGTGGAAAGTGGATACAAGCATCTGCTGGGTGACCGGACCAAAATTCAGATGCCTTACCGCCCTGCAGGTGTCCTTGGGAGGTCAGACATCTCTGCCCGCTTACCCTTGAAGGAATGACAGTGTGTTTACCAGATATTTGTAGTAGATCCTACAGGTCCGGACCAGCATACTGAGGACGTGTTCTTTTCTTTCCAGCTTACCGTGACCATCAGAACTTTGTTGCAGAATCTGAAGGACAAGATCGCCCTTTTGAAGGACCTGCTGCTAAGAGCCGTGTCAACACATCAGATGTATCCATGTAAACATTTCCACCTCTTTTCTAGAGTGGGAGGAAACGCAGTCTTATTTTAAGAAAGGAAGGAATCTGGGCCACCCAGATTTTTTCCACAGCTTGAGGAAGACCTGGGTTTCCAAAATATTGCCGATCTTCTTGATTTCTATTTTAAGGGTCTGTTACGTGGTTCACAGGGAATATGCTGGCAAAGCAAGACATGCTGAAGGCGTTCACTTATTTGGGTGTGACTTGGGTGTAACCTCTACGCTGTAGGAAGCGAGTGCTTTCTGCCGGGGCCGTGTTTGCACCGAGCCCCGCGCTGCCCCCTGTCTAGACAGCCCTGGAGATGGTGAGCCTCTGTGCCAACAGGGGAGGGGACCTTCTACCATAACCCCAGCTGTGGCGATGCTGGAGTGGCCAGAGTTATGACTGGTCCGTTTTCTTTTCCGAGAGGCCAGTACCAGTAGAAATTGTACATCTTTGGGGATTTTCCCCTGTTTATGTAGGTTATTGAGGTGGGACTCGTTCGCCTTGTAACTCTTGGAGAAGCACAGACGCTTCCCCTGGTTTGGGAGTTTGGGGGCGGGGGAGGGTTTGGCAGGGAGTCCTGGCCTGAAGCAAGTTGTGCCCCATTTCAACCTCCCACCAACACTGTCAAGTGTTGAAACTTTTTTTTTTTTTAAGAAGTTCATAATCCAATCGGTTGAGGAAAACACCTGTGACCCATTACCTAAACCAGTCCTTTGCACCTGAGTTTATCTCGGTTTGAAAATTGGCCTCATAGTGCTCCTCTCTCATTGTTTTTTCAAATTACCAGTTCATGCCGAATAACTAGATTTGAGTATCTCAAGAAATGGTTATTACTGCTTTTCAGTGGGAGAGTGTAGGAATCTAGCTTTTTGGCAAAATAATAGAAAATGTTTGAACCATTATTTTCCCCAAGTGTCACCCCTTTATGCTACCAGGGAGGTTTGTTTAGATTAATTGCATGAGTTTGTAGATACTCAGTTACTAACACACTAAGGTTTCAGGTAAAAGTTTAATTTCAGTAAACAGTGGGGGGCTTATTTTTAAGACATCAGGAATATTCTAATACATTTAGTTTGTGACTTTACCCTCTATCTGGTACTATTTATTCCTGTACATCTGTCACATATATATGTATACACACACACACATATTTTAAGATTTTATTTATTTATTTGGGAGAGTGAGAGCAAGCATGTGCATGTGTGCGGGGAGAGCTGCAGAGGGCGAGAGAGAAGCAGACTCCCCACTGAGCAGGGAGCCCACCAAGGTGGCAGGATCCCAGAACTCTAAGATCATGATCTGAGCTGAAGGCAGATGCTTAACTGACTGAGCCACCCAGGCGCCCCCTGCACATCTATTATCAAACGGTTTTTATTTTATCAAAATCAACAAGTCCCAATATGTCGACCTCAGATGGTTTGTAGTCGGCCTGCCTAGTGTCCGCACGTGATACCAGCTACGCGCGCTCATTTTCTTGTTACCTAAGGCACCTATGTTAAATAGTCCTTTCATGATATAGTATTAGCAGCTGTGTATTTGCTATCCATCAAGGTTACTGATTATTATGCACCTTATGATATTTATGTGCTAAACTACAGGGCAAAAAAGAAACAAATGAAGCACTCTAACTTTTTTCTATTAATAACTTCTGCTCGTTATTAGTTAAGGAGGAGCATGTGGCCATAATAATTGCCTTGACTTTGTTCCGAATGCTTTCAGCCTGACCATCTTTTGAAATCTCATAGACTTTGGTTTTGCGGTCATCTCAGAATTTGCTGAACGAAGCATGAAAAATATATAAAAATGTTTTAAAATATAGAACAGAGTTATTAAACACATTATGAAAATATTTAAGGACATTACTGTGGATAATTTAGAATGTTGTAGGATAAAGCAGAAACTCAGCTGGACTGTAACAGCATTCTTTGAAATATTAAGGATTTTTTTCAAATAGATCTCTTGCTGGAAATGCAACCCGTACTAAAGATGGAATTCCTGTCTCCCACCCCAAGGGGGCGCTCAAGTCTTCTGCGTTTTCAGGGAGACCATTTGTTCTGATAGAATGGAAAGGAGGTAGTTTCTGCATTATGAAGGCCTCTTTCTGTTTTGTTTTTTTTTTTAAGATTTTATTTATTTATGAGAGGGAGAGAGAGCGAGCACAGGCAGACAGAATGGCAGGCAGAGGCAGAGGGAGAAGCAGGCTCCCTGCAGAGCAAGGAGCCCAATGTGGGACTCGATCCCAGGACGCTGGGATCATGACCTGAGCCGAAGGCAGCTGCTTAACCAACTGAGCCACCCAGGCGTCCCTGAAGGCCTCTTTCTAATTCTCTTTCTGTTCCCCACATCTTCCCTTCCCTTGCCCTTCGTCTTCCCAGCTATTTCCAGATTTAAGCCATATGGGATAGCTACTTCTGTGGGTGGTTTGTTATTTTCTTTACCAAAAAGGTATGGAGCCCAGGTCAACCTTTGCACACCAGCTCGTGGGTAGAGCTGGACAACAAATCCCGCATCGCAGCAGAGGAATGTTTTACACCGAGGAGAGGAATCTGAGGGCTGAAGGAACTTGCCCCAGACCCCACGACTGGGAAATGGAAGAGCGCAGACACAGAGTCAGGGCTGTCTGGCCCCAAAGCCAGTTGTTTAAAAACCGAATTCTACTTTAGTAGAAATAATACAGTCATCTGTCACCTGGAACGTCTTCGACTAGAATTCCCTAATAATGGGCATGTTGCTCTGACGCCAAGACAAATCCTGTTTATAATGCAAATCCTTGAGGCACTCCTTAATCATCAGGAAGCTTGAACACTGTTCACTGTGGTTTATTAGGTATACTTTATGATGTTATAATTCTTAGAAAAATTTTTGTCTGTAAATCGCCAACAGGGTGACTGTTTAATCCTTTTTTTTTTTTTTTTGGAGGCCTAATTAATTTAAGTTGGGTGACTTTTTTAATGGGAATATTTGAATACTACATGTCCTTACTGTGTGGGGTAGTTGAGGGTTTACGGCACTTCACCTAGTAAATTTATACATTTGTGCAGTTTTCCAAAGAACACTAGGGTTTGCCAGAAAGGTAAGTCCTCAGAAAATGCCTTTCAAACAATTAAACTCACGGAGTGAAGGCATAAGAGGTTACTGCTTTTTCTTGGAAAAAGTATTTTCTCCTGGCAAGAATAAATGTGGCGTGAAAATCAAAGTTGCGTGCTTTCGAGTTGGTTAGTTTGCAATTCATAAACCAAAGTCCTTCAGCCAGAGAATTTAAAATTGCTGAATACCATTAATTTCTATTCACCATGTTTCTTGGAGTCAGGAATTTTTCATTGCCCCGCTGGTTGAGAAAAGTTCTGGGCCACAGGAGGGCCGCCTGTGAAATGTCAGGTAGAAGTGAAATTATTCTTAGAATTGGCCTAACGTGAAGCTCATCTTTTTGTTGGGTTCTCAAAGGCGGCACCTTTACAACTTGAAGGAGAATTAAAAAAAAAAAAAAAAATCTCTTTACAGAGGGGTTCAGTATAAAAAGGTATTTTGGTGTCTTGGGAGAAGTCCTATAGAAATGATTTTTTTAAAAATTATAAATAACTTTTCTCCTTTGTCTTTTTGGGGGGGAGAGATAGGTAGACAGGTGGGTGGATAGGTGCAGCCATCACTGTAACCGTATGAATGAGGGTGCTGGGGGGCTAGCCAGGTAGCTGCTGGGGAGAGCCCCTGGGGCTCCAGGGGACGTCAGGTGGTTCCCAAACACTGTACTTGTACTTGACATTTTTCACTGGTGCCTGGACGGTGTTGAGGTCAGTAGGGATTTTCTGATTTGTAGTCTCGTGACCTTCTTTGCAGTTTTCCGCATTAAGGTCTCCTTGCTTTGTTCCCTGGGTAGTAAAGGTGGATGGCAGTTTTGTCTGTTGTGGTTGTTTTAGATCCCTGGCAAAATGCGTGTGCATAACCTTAATGAAGTCTGCCATCACCCCCCAATTTGTCCGGAAGTATTTCTGCTGCGGTCTAGCGGCAACGGCCCGGCTTTGGAACCAGACCGAGCTGAGATCGAATGAGCTCTGGTACATCCTCGAGGCCAAAGAGCAACTTCACCTTTCTAGACCTTCATGTCTGTCTAGAGGAGGACTAAATACGCTTACATTGCCAGGTTGTTGAAAAAGCTGCAGGGGGGCGCCTGGGTGGCTCAGTGGGTTAAAGCCTCTGCCCTTGGCTCAGGTCATGATCCCAGGGTCCTAGGATCGAGGCCCGCATTGGGCTCTCTGCTCAGCAGGGAGCCTGCTTCTTCCTTTCTCTCTGCCTGCCTCTCTGTCTACTTGTGATCTCTGTCAAATAAATAAATCTTAAAAAAAAAAGAAAAGAAAAAAGAAAAAGCTGCAGGGAATCAATTTAGAGCACCTCATGGAACCAGCCCCTCCTAAGGGGGGAAGGGTGTTGCATACAAGGTAGCTTTCAACATTTACTAACCGTGTGACTTCAGACAAGTTACTTAACCTCTTTGTACGTTGGGTTTTGTGTGTGTGAGGTTTTTTCATCTGGAAATAGGGGTAGTAGAAGTACCCCTGGCTCATAGGATTGTCGGCAGGATTCAGTGATGTGCAGGGCGGGTGCTCGGCGTGTAGTCAGCCCCCCTTGAGGATTACCTGCTACTTACTGTTTTGTCACTACGGTAAAAATCCCCGCTACTGTGGGAACTGACGGGTAGTCCTTACAGGGTTCATCATCATGTAAAGAAGTTATATCAAAGCACATAGAAAATGACAGTATTGAAATAGTGCTTGCAAGATGTGGTCAGTGCTTTGAGGGAGGTAAGGACCTGGTCTGGTACATGAAAAATATTCAGTGCAGTTTGTTAACTTAAAAAAAAAAAGGGATGCAGTGCATGTGAGCTGGAGAAGTCTGGCCTCTAGGACCTTAAACTGTCCTCTTGCAACTCTTCTGTTAAGGCACCCAAAAATAAGTGTGTCTGCAAACTTCTTCCTTCTCCAGAGTGATGCATTCACAAGCAGGACTTGCCAAAATTCTTTTTTTTTTAAAGATTTTGTTTATTCATTAGAGAGAGAGAGAGACAAGGAGCACAAGCAGGGGTGAGGCAGAGGGAGAAGAAAAAGCAGGCTCCCTGCTGAGCCGAGGGCCCCACCTGGGACTCGATCCAGGACCTGGAGATCAGGACCTGAGCCGAAGGTGATGCTTAACCATCTGAGCCACCCAGGTGTCCCAGACTTGCCAAAATCCTTAAGCCTTTCTACTAAATAGAAAATCCAGGAGCTGGAGTGGGGTGGCGCATCCTGCAGGACCAGCAGCATCTTGGTTTCCCCTTCCTCTTAGGATCCAAGTGCTGATGGAGTTCCAGCAGGGAAACTGCGCTAATGTGCCTTGGTAGCAAGTCCTAGTAGTGTGAACTCTTCATCCCATCTCGTACAACCTTACATCCCCATCACTTGTCTTTATGTGTAGGACCAGCCTAGCCGATGACGGAGTACTATGGTTTTGTCTGTCTTCCAACCTTCCTCCTTGGTGGTTATTACAGTTGGTGGAGGAGGCGGTCCCAGCACTGGCCACTGACTGTGTGCCCTATTTTCTGCTTGTCTTCCCTGCCCTTCTCTCATGCCTTCCAGCTACTATCAGTCCACATCAGGAAGTAGGATCCTTGCCTGGACGATTCTTGGACCTCTTGTTAACCACAGCCCCCACGTAATAAGTGCACCATATAGAAGGGCTGTTAAATCTATGACTTCTCCTTTTGCCGTCTCCCCCCCCCCACCTCCTTACGCCATGTCCTCTCAGTAGATTAAAATACATATAAAAAAAGGAGGAGGGCATTCCTAATTGCTTAAACTTCTGGTCTTCCCAGGTTAGCAGGGAGTCTCTGGGGAGGTTCTGAATTAGTATTACTCGTCTTGTTACTGATTTTAACAGGATGCTGAGCAGTGCAAAGTTAAGTGGGCAGTCCTGGGAGCCCCAGGGTGGAGAAGCCCACAGAAGGTTTGGTGGTCAAGGCCAGCCCGATGTGGTGGACAAACCCTGACCTAAAGCAGAATGAACTGGGCTCTCGCCCAGCATTGTCATTAACCAACCAGGGGACAGCCACACTGGGACAAGCTAGTAGTCGGGAGAACCAGGAGAACCCCAGCTGGCTTAGGGGAATGCTAAGGTCTCTTGTAGCCATGACCATCTGTGATTCTGTTCTTTAGCTGCTAACCTACAAAACACGATCACCACGCTTTACCACTCTTGAAATTGATGTGACTTAAAGTCCTTGCTTAACAAGCTTGATACTGTAACAGGCGTCTGCTATATTTTAAAACCTTTCTTTTCCTGTTTTTATTATAAAAGCACCTTCTAATTTTATTAACTAGCATTATGATTGGCACACAATACAAAATGATACTACACGAACAGGATACTCCCTCACACCCTGAATCCCCAGTTTTTCCTCCTTGGAAGCGTTGCTGTGTATCCTTCCAGAAATTTCCTGAGTAGATAGACAAACGTGTGTGTCCAGCTGAGTACTTTTTAAATGCAGTGGGAGGACACCATCCACTCTTTAACTTTTGCTGCTGCTTTTTCTTTTGTTTTGTGTTAACACTGTGTTTTAGAGATGTTTCCATATCAGCTAATACATGTAAGTACTTAGTAAGCCCTTGGCAACATTACTTACTATCTTTCAGTCCATAAAGAGCATTTCTACTCTTTTTTTCTTCTAGGCTACAAAACCTTCCACTGTGGGGTTGTGCTAATTGTTTATTAGTGGACGGCAGGACATTTCTGCTCTTTGGCTATTATAAACAATGCTGCCATGAACATCTCTGCTCTGAAGTCTTGGTGTAGATGTGTGACTGTATCTGCAGAAGGTCCTGTTGAAGGAATGTATCTTCTGAAGGTTATGTCATTGAGAAGGCAGTCTGGCCATTGGCTGAGCTGGTTTACATTCTCACCAGGAGTATCAGTGGGTGCTCCCACTGCCCTTTCCAGAACTTCCTGGTCACGCTTCCTAACTGATGGGTGAAAAGGATACTGTTTCCTTTTGCATTTCTTTGACCAACGTAAAACTGAATACTTTTCTGTTATTATTATGGTTTCTTCTGTGCTCCGTTTTGCCTTTGCCTTTCTTTTCATTTGTCACTGATCAATTTATTTTGCAGATATTTACAATTTTTATGTAGTCCGATTTGTCTTTTCCTTCATGGCCGCTACGTTTGCAGTCTCGACGAGTAAGATTTCTCCTACCCCGAGATTATCAAAAAGTTCCCCCTCTGTTTTCTCTAATGATACTTTTATAATTTTTTTTTAAAGCCCTGAGCCAGTGTACTCAGACTTTGATTTTAAGAATGGATGGGGGGTTCAGCTTTTGTTGCCAGAGCAGGCCGCGCACAGGGCACAGGACAAAGCGAATTAGTACTGTGATGTAATTAATAGTTTCTGCAAATTAAAATTCCCATTTTGCCCCATATAATTCATGCCATAGCTTCTGAAAGTTTGTCCCCTCCCCCTCCCTCCCCACCGAAGAACTTCTCTTGCCTTCTGCTCTGTGGACAGTCTGTCACTAAAGGAAACACATCAACACTTTTTCCTGATGTTGGCATGGATCAAAAGGCAGATGTTGGCCTTTTATTTTTTTTTATGATTTTTAAATTTACTTTAGAGAAAGAGAGCATGAACAGGGGGAGGGGCTGAGGGAGAGGGAAAGAGAATCTCAAGCAGGCTCCCCCCTCAGCGTGGAGCCCAAAGCGGGGCTCAATCTCATGACCCTGAGATCATGACCTGAGCCGAGTCCGACGCCCAGCCTGCTGTTTCTTAGTTGCAGTTGCTACCTTACAGTTTCCCAGATGGCGTACTTGGGGGCATAGTGACATACGGGCAAGAATGAAATGGAAGAGCAATGGTAGCGATTTTCCGTGGGGGTAGTGTGGCATTCTGGAATATTCAGAGAATTCATTTATTTATTTATTGACTTATTTTAATCATCTGAAACCACTGATACTGCGTAGCTGCATTGGTGTGGGGATTCCTGGTTTGACTAACTACTGTCTGTTACCGGGGACCTTTTTTCTGGATTTTTAAAGATTATTATGATTTTACCAGCAAGCTAGCTCTTTCTGTTCAAAATTAGCAGCAGAAATTGCAGCTTCCCTGGGCCGTGGTCCCGTGCCTCCTGCGGGAGAGGGCAATGCTACTGCTTGATTTGGCCAATTTCTTAGAAATATTTTGGGCCTCCATGCAGCATTTGCCATCTTCCTCTTTAAATAGAAAAGCATCTCTGAATGTAAAGCAGCAGGCTCACTCATGTCTTACTGTTACCAGCACTAGGTAATTGTGGCCAGGGTGACGCTGGATTACCGGGCTTTCAGGGCCAATAAAACAAAAGCCATCTAATAACAAACTCAAAGCCAGAAAAAATTGTTGCTGAGATGGCTTATTTCTGTACTTACTTTTTATGTCTTATGTCGGATATGCCCTTTCAGAAGGATCGGTTAGCTTTCTCCCGTTGTTCTTTTTACGGCAGAAATGTTCTCCCTGAACATTCTGTTTTGTTTTTAAACACACACACACACACACACACACTCTCTCTCTCTCTCTCTCTCTCTCTCACTCAGCCTAGAACAACTCACTTAACCTCCTTCAAGAAAGCTAGGGCAGAAAACTCTGGATTTAGCCTCGGTTTATTTCTTTAGCCATAATTCATGAGGTGTGCTGGAAAAGGTATTAGAGATTATCTGTTTTCTGGCATTGAAAGGCATAGAAAGACATGGAGATCCAAACAGGGCCTCAAGATCATACATAGTGGTCAAAGCAAGACTGTAGGCTTTGGACTCCTGGTTTAACGCGCTTGCTAGAATAACACACTGAGATCCAGATTCTTTCTTTGTAATTGTCTTTAGAGTTAAATACCATGCTGTGTGTTTAAATAATGAACTGACGGGAACTCCTTTTAGAGCGAATCTGTCGCATAGAGTAGCACGTTACAAAAGTTATCCGAGGAGTGTTCATAGGCGTTAACACGGAAGAAAGGCGGTATAGAGAACCTCTTTCCTACCTTACAGAGCACCTTAGGGTACTAGGGTCTAGGAAATCACCTTTGAACACTGCCTCCTATAACTCAAAACCCAAGGAATTCCTGAGTCGGATGGCTCTGCCGATAGGAATAATCATTTCAGTGTAAGTCTCTGGGAGGAAGATAATTTCTACCTGCTGTATTTCCGGGGGCGGGGGTCTGTTTCAGAGCCCTGCTTCGGTTCTGTCAAGGCCCTTTACTTGGAAGATCTGCGATGTCGAAGGTCAGAGCAGGAGGAGGAGAACAGTTCAGGTCTCTTCTGGCCACAGTTGCTTAGGGTCTGTAACGGTCACAGCCGACTAGGAGAGCTCCCTTAATGCCAGAATAGGGAAAGTGAGGTAATCCACCCACCATTGGACCTTAACGAGACGCCTGCAGAACACAGCTTGAAGGAGACCGAAGACAGAACCTGCTGGATGAACTTGTAACTCGAGAGAGACTACTTGTGGCATCCTTTAAGAACGAGGGTGCAGAACCAGATCTCATCAGGTAGGACGCCTTCATTTACAGGGGTTACGTGGTGGGTGAAGGTGTGTTTGCAGAGATTAGAGATTTGCGTGCTGAATGGCTTAATTCAACGAGTAAAATACACTCAGCTCCTGTAGAGTGTTTGACTCCCACTTTCTTTCAGTTTAGTGTTCTTTAATGTTCTAGATGTAGTACATCGGGGTGTTCAGCCGAATCCCATCCCGAGGGAAGACTGGGGAGAGTATGGACGACGTCAGCAAATCTCCTTTGCATTCTTTGCTTGCTTTGTCCTATGGGAGCTGTCTTTTAAACTCCTGAAGGCATGTACTCATCTGTGGGGGGAGAGAGGTGTTTCTTTTGTTTTATTTTGTTTTTTTCCCACTGGCACCTTGGAAAGCTGTGTCCTAGGGAGACTTGTCGTCCGTGGCTCACGAAGGTACGGGAGTGGGGCAGGTGTATTCTTGCCTGTTCTGTGCCCGGAAGTGATTTACTCGCCAACACAGTTGATGGCCGTCCTGTGCCCAGCTCTGTTGGAAGACCCGGAAAGGCCATCCAGCTTTTCAGGGTTGGGGTTCACGATCCCTGTATGGTTATGTCTTTCAAAGTGCCCCCCCCCCCCAGCTTTCAGAGCTCCTTGGTGGAAACCATCACAGGAGGAAATGAACTTTGAGTAGAAACTCACTTCTCTACCTCTTCCCCTCTAGGGATGAGGCTTTCATTCTGGAGAGGAGCTTGCTTCTGTGGAGTTCCTGATCAGGAATAATACGGCTTCCCGAGGGCAATGGTTTTTTTGGTTTGTTATTTTATTTTATTTTTTTTTTACCTTTGACTACATGTTACTAGGTCCCGCCTCAGACAATTAAAGCGGGGGTGTGGGCGGGGGAAGGAGGGTCCAAGGCAAGGCCCACAGGCAGCCAGGATTGCAGACCATGGCCCTGGGGCAAGCTGAGGAGGGAAACAGTTTCCTGTCAGCCTCAGACCTCTTGCGAGCATGTGATCCAGGGTTTTTAGAAAGAACTTATGAAAGACATGGGAAGTTCAGTGAAATCTTAAGTCATTGCAGTGGAGAGATGAAGCCCAGGAGTCCGGGAGGGAGGGGTCGTGTCCTGGACAGAGTTTGTGAGAAGCCTTGGGTGGGCGGGGTGTTGCTCTGGCGGCGAGCAGTGCGTGAAATGAGCACACAAGCCAGGGGATCCATGGGCAGAGTCAATGCCGTCTGTCAAGAAGGGCCTTTACCCTGAAGGGGATGGTCTTTGCAGTCCAGAAGGAGAACAGAGGCATACTCAGGGGGAAGGGTCAAGTGCAGAGGTGATGAGGGGCATCTCCACACCCTTGCTTTGTGGTCCTGGAGGTAGTGACTGTGACGGACGGTGATGGTTACCCTTCGACAAGAGTTAGCTATGTGCCAGGCCCTGCTCATCCCTCTTCATTGTGTCCTATAGAGATGCCGGGGGGGCCACCTCCTGTGCTAGGTCTTCATGGGTTTTGTGGGTTTTCTAGTCCCCACTTGCTTATCACCTGTCTTCTCTCCTGTGATCGTTTCCACATCCTTGTTAATGTAAAGTGTGACCTGCGTGCAGGTGTCAGCACCAGCTGGGAGCCTGTTAAAAACACAGATCTCAGGCCCCGCCCCCGACCTTCTGGATCTGCGTTTTTGGGTTTTTTTGTTTGTTTGTTTGTTTGTTTTTAAGATTTTATTCATTTGACAGAGCAGAGCATCAGGCAGAGGGAGAAATAGACTCCGTGCTGAGCGGAGAGCCAGTGCGGGGCTCGATCCCAGACCCTGGGATCATCATCTGAGCTGAAGGCAGACGCTTAACTGAGCCACCCAGGCGCCCTGGATCTGCGTTTTCTAAAAATAATTTTATTTGAACTAGGCTCCATTCCGAGCTTGGGGCTTGAACTCAGGACCCTGCAGTTAAGAAGCATATGCTCTACCCACTGAGCCAGCCAGGGACCCCCGGAGCTGCATTTTTAAGAAGATTCTCAGTGTTTTGAAGGCACCTTCCCGTTTGAGAAATACGGCCCCATATCCTTTGTTCTTAGCGGTGGCACTTAGCATCCGAGTCCACATGTGCACTTGCCCGGGAGATCTTTAGCACACACGTCCATTTTAGACTAGAGAAACTGAGGTCTGGAGGGGTCGGGTCGCTGGCACAAGAGTCTAAAACAGATCAGTCTCAGTTCAGGTTTCACCCAGATGTCAGCATCTCCAGGTGCGAACTCTTCCCCCGGTCCCAGGAGAAGGGCGGGGCCCGGTGTCGGAATCAGCTCGGTGACTTGCTGGTCTCCTAGCCATCTGGGCTTCAAAATCATTGACCTTGAGGTGCAGATAATGGGCACTGCCTCTCTTTCATTGTCGTGGGGACCAGAAGAGGTGATCGGTATGCGAAGGGCTTTGTGGACTCCAAAACCTTTGCAAATGGAAGATGTTCTTTCTGGCGCATTGTGTCACCGTGGGGCCAGGAGAGAGCTCAGGCTGCTGCCTGCTCCCCCCGCCCCCCACCCAACCCCGGAGGGCTTCTGTCCCACCCCTGGCCTCCCTGGCTGACCAGATTTGTTCCAGCGTGCCCGCTTATTCTGCCGGCCCAAATCTCGTCATGGCGCCTTTCCCAGGTGCCCGGCTTGCTGCTCCTTGTTTTGTTAGCAAATGGTTGTGCGTGAATTCTGGCTACGAGATCCACGACGGGCACTGACTTACCTTCTGGAGTTCTGTCACCTGAAGCCTCCTTGGGCCCCGAAGTAAACTGGTGGGTGGGAGAATTTTAGGGAAACTGAGGAAAGGTAATGCTAGGTGGTCTGTGCTCACAGTCCTAGAGGCTAGAAGTCCAGATCAAGGAGTGGGTGGTTCCTTCTGAGGGTCATGATAGAGGGTCTATTCTAGCCCTCTCTCCTGGGCTCGTAGATGGCCGACTTCACGTGGTTGTTCCTCTGTGTGTGCCTGTGTCCAGATTCCCTCTAAAGATACCAGTTGTGTTGGATTATAGCCCACCCTGATGCCCTCGTTTTTTTTAATTAAGTCACCCCCTCGAAAGAACCCATCTCCAAATACCGTTGTGTCCTGAGCTATGTACTAGGGGCTCGCACTGCAACATCGGAATGTTTGTGGGGACACAGTACAGCCCAGAACTCGGTCCCAAAAGTGTGAGTCCCGTAGACATTCCTGGAGGATCTGATCAATGAGAGGGTGCCTGCTAGATTAAAGCGGCCTCAAAGATTTGTAAGGAAATCTGCCTGCGGGCCATGAAAGGGACACCCAGGCGGCCCTGACCCAACTCGGCAGGGAACACAGCTCCCCTGCAGACGTGCAAGAGGCAGGAAATAAGGATCTTGGTGAGCGTGTGAATGAAAGGATGTCACGTCTGGGCTAGAAGTCATTGTCTTAGGTTGTAAGTCAGAGTTTTCGGTCTGTGATTTCACTTACCTGCCTACGTCAGAGTGTTATTTTTGCCCTTTGTACCCCTGACCCCCACACTTGAGTCCTCCCCGACCCTCTCCAACTTCTCAAACCCTAATCTTTCTCCAGCCTTCTGAGAATCTGAGTTCGGATGGAGACAGGAGCAGTTCGGGTTCACAGACTTGTCCCCTCGCCTCCTGACTGCTGCGATGCCCGGTCATTCCTGATACTGGAGCTGTTCAACTCTGTCTTTGGAGAAACCCCATTCCCTTCTCTGCCAGTTGGTTTCTCTGACCTATAAGGGCTTCCTTAGCCCTCCCCACTGGTAATTCCTGTTTCTGGGCTCCTCCAGTGTCTTTGTCTACTTCTCTGACCCCTAGATTCCTCCGGCACTTTTGTTTGCTTCTGTCATCCTTTCTGTCACTGCAGGTCGCTTTGTCCTCCATGGTGGGGGCAGTGGGGGCTGGGTGGTGGCATATGCCTTCGCCTTAGGTCCCGACCTGCAGACCTACAGAAATAACATGGGCCGGAAAGCCTTATCAGAACTTAAGCATGTGAGAGTCGCTGTGGCACAATTTGTCATTAACGCCACACGGCCACCACGCGGCGCTCCCTGTGGCGGGGCCTGGGGTAGATCAGCTCATCAGTATCTCAGAGCCCCGTGATAACCGGCAGCCCCAACACAAGATCACGTGGACCCCCCCCGCTTCCGGTTTCCTTTGTATGACCCCCCCCCACCCCGGAAACCTTAGCCTCCTCTCTCCCTGGGGGGTCCCCCTCCCCCTCCCCTTCCTTCTCTCTTCCTTTCCTCCTCGTATGTGGCCTGATTAAGGAGACGAGAGGATTGTCAGACCCCAGTTTGGATTAGCATTTCCTTGAACCCGACATTAATGTGGCAATCACGCCCTTGAATGCGGAGCTGTCATGTGATGGGATCTTAGTTGTACCTTACGGATTAACCGGTCATTATTCGAAAGCAGTAAACCTTGCGGTAGGACCAGAGTCTAAATAAGCAATGGTTGACTAATTTAAGGCATTTGGAAACTTGTTAAAGAAGTCGCTGGGTAACAATGTCTCTCAGAAGATATTAAGCGGTGACACAGCTTCTGATTTTTAAATCCTGTTGCCCTTTATATCTGAAAGCATGGCTGGGTCTCACAATTAGTTAAATCTTTGTCTGTAGAGAGAGGAAAAAAAAAAATCCTTGCATACTCCACTGCTCGGTGAGCATCTCAGACATTATGTGATTAACTCGACTGTGGTGGGTGGCTAATTGGCTAAGCTTTAATCCTCACACCGCCAACTATATTGAGGATTATAGGAAATAGGAAGTTATTTAGATGTCGAGATGGTTGCTGTGTGTCAGGAGCGGTGTATTAATAAGCAGGCGGATGGCTAAACTCAAAAGAATAATGATGGTAATGGAATGCTCACGTCCTCTGAGAGTGTGAACTTTACACTTGATTTCAGATTTCTCTCTTTGAGCTGGTAAAGTATGATCCCTCCAGTTCATGTTTCATGTCAGTGTCACCATATCGGAAGCCAAGGTGGGCAAACGAAAAATCTGCATGAAATTTTACATGAAAGGCGGCCCTTCCCCATTTTAAGTCACTGGCAGTTTTAT